CACAACCAAAAAATATGATTTTTTATCCAATTCAAAAAAATCAATGTAAAGACGATCCCATGGTTTCTTTGATTTGGGCCACCTCTTTACGGGGCATAACGGCACAAGTATTACATGGAACACATTCCTTTGTAATTTTTTCTATATCATTACCCATCCCAGGCCACCACACATATTCACGAGCCTAAGATTTCATTTTAACTTGACCCTGATGTCCTGCGTGTAATAAATTAATTATTTTAGCACGTAATTTCACCGGAATTACTGCGCTATTTCCCCTCATTACACAATCATCCACCACGGATAATTCTTTTTCACATCTTTGATAAATTTTATAATTATTTTTCTATGGTTTTTTTCACATTAAAAATAATTTTATTTGTCTCAATACTTTATCTTTTAAAGTATATGATTTGAGATCTTCCCAAGTTGTAGGACCTCCCTTTAACATATATGATAGAGTACGCACCAATGCATCTTCTCTATCAATAATCATGTTATCAATTTCTTTTTCCGATTAAATACTCGCGACATTTGGTCAACCCAAAATAATCGCTAAAGCCTCCTGTTCTATAACAGAATATCTAGTTTCCACTTCATATATTCGTGAAAAAAAAATAATTGGTCTCTCTAAACCATCAATGACATGTAATAATGCGCCTCCTACACCTTTATTTGATGCATCAACAGCAAGAATTATCTCCAAATCATTGTTAAAACACACTAAAATTGGTTCCTCACCAATTTTTTTCTTTAAATTTTCAAAAGCACTTCTTTGTTCAATTTTCCACTCAAAATTAACACCTTTTTTTAATAAGTCATATAATGGAGCTGCTATTTTTGCAAAATTATCCACAAATCTATGATAATAATTTATCATGCCCATAAAAGATTGTACTTCAGCTTTATTACTAGGCTGATTTATGTTTAAAATATTTTTTAAATTTTTATCAAGTGGTTTCACTTCAATTCCATTAATTTGATGACCCAAATATACTATTTCGGTGACACCAAGAATGCTTTTCTCTTTACTAGCTTTTAAACCTTTATCTTGAATTCTCTTGAAAACCTCTTCAAGACGTTGATTATGTTGTTCTGGCGTCACTCCAGTTATCAACACATCATCCATATAATAAAATACACCTTCCAAACCCTGAAAAACGGATGCCATGGTTCTCTGAAAAATCGGTGCAGATACACTTAACCCAAAAGGTAATCTACAAAACGTAAATAATCCTATAGGCGTTGTTATTGTCAACAATTTACGAATTTCTTCTTTCAAAGGCAATTGTAAATATGCTGATGAAAAGTCAAATTTTGAAAAATATTTAGCTCCCTTTAAATTTGCCAAAATTTCTTCAATTCGAGGTAATAGATATTTCACTTCCACAACCCATTTGTTAAGTGTTACTCGAAAATCTGCACATAATCTAAGTTTTCCATTAGATTTTTTAACAGGTACTTATGGTGTAGCCTATTCACTATATTCCACAAAAATAATAATACAATCATTAACCCATTTATCTAATTCTTCGTTGATCTCCTTTTTCCACTCAAAAGGAACTCTACGACACGCTAAGAAAATAGGCGAAAATCCCTCTTTTAATTTTAAATCCACTTGATAATCATTTAGACATCCCAAAGTGTCTTCAAAAATTATATCATATTTTTCAACTAAAATGGGTATAGCATTTTCAACTCTATTTAATTCATTAATTTTTTTATCATTATCAACTTCACTATTGATCATATATTGATTTGAATCTATTATTAATTTTGCGGGATATTCACAAATATTATTATTAACTATAGATTCTTTCACTTCACTCATTAATTTATTCATTTCCCTTTCTTTAAGCTTTTCCCTGACTTCATTAACCATTATTTTTCTTTCGGCAATATCTCTAGCCAATTCGCTATCAATTATAAATAAATCCCAATAATTATTTCTAGGTCCAAGTTTGCTAATCCAATCCCAACCCATAATTGTTTCAACATTTTTTTTTACTATCCATAAATCCAAAATTATAGGAATATCATGGAAAAGAACATCCCACTGCGTTTTACCCAAAACTTGGATTTCAGATCCATCAAATTGTTTTATACACATATTTTGTCTCTCGACAATACCATTCGGTCAATATTTATAAAAATTTTCACTAGACATTATTGAAATACTTGCTCCAGTATCAAATAACATTTCCACAATATGTTCATCAATTTTCAAATTTATATGAGGACATGAACTTTGTTCAATTGTTCCCTCATCACTTAATTTTTCAATTACTTTCATTGGCTGAATAGTATTTATTATAATCGAATTTCTAACATAATTAATATTCATACCTAAATTCATCTCAGAATTTAAATGTCTCTGAATCTCATTTATGTTTTTATTAAAAATCTCCCATGGATATTTCCCACTTGTTTGATTATAATAATCCTTTTTATTCAGATTATTAGTTAATTTAAAATTTTTTATTTCATCAGAATGACAATAAAAATTTCCCACATTACAACTCTTTCTATTCGAGTTAAATTTCAATGTATAATCATCATTCCCATAATGATTATCTATTTTATTATATATATACACAAAATTTTTAATAAAACTATATATATCACAAAATTTTATATTCTCTAAATATAATATATCTATTTTTATATGACTCTCTTTCAAATCATATAGTCACTGTGACCCACTCACACTTTGAATACAATGTATTGCAATGTGTCCCATTTTTCCACATCTGAAACACATTCTATCATGGTCTGTATTGTATATTTATGTTTTATCCATATTTGTAATACTAGGATTTGTATATTTCGAACCACTGGACTTATCACTACCGATGTTCGTTGCGGAAATCCACTTTTGAAATTGGCTTCTTTCACCATGCAATTTCGTTTTATATGTCCCACAAAACCACATCGATGACACACCATGTCATTTTTTTCACTTGTTTTAACAGTGACATTATCATTAGTTTTTTGGTCTCTTGCATAGAAATTTTTACCAACATGTCCTTTTCTTCCACAGATTTCACAACTTTCAAATATATTATTATTATTTTTAATTTTTAAGTTGGAAACATCTCTGGACAAATTTTTCATATTTTCTCTCATTTCTCTAATTTCACGTAAAATTAGAGATTCCTCTGTACTTTGTCTCAAAGTATTATTTGTATTATTATTTTTCAAAATTTCTACTGGCTTCTCGATTAAAACCTCAGAAATTTGCTTTTTAAATTCTATCACAATTGAATTTAATTTTTTATTTATAGCCTCCGATATGTCAATATTTTGAGGAAAACTAAATACTTCACCCGTATATAATATTTTCTCTGATTGTTCTTCCGATATAATAATTTTTTTTACCATTTAAATTTTTTAATTCTAATAATATTAAATGTAAACTATTTTTGATATCCTCAGAAATATCTAAAGATTTATTACCATTTAGATCACCTAATTTAATTATTTTATTATTCACTGATCTTCTCTGAATTTTATTAATTAATTGTCTGAAACCAATTAATAATATATACAATATAAAAAAAATGAAAGCTGTAACCACACTATTGGTCACATCCAATTCATTAAATTTTGTATTAAAAATTTTATTAAAATTATTCTTATAAATCGAAATTTTATTAAAATCAGGCTTCCTATGCATAGTAATAAAAGGATAAACCATGATTTCATAAATTTATATCACAAATAAAAAATTTTTATACCCTTAAAATTAAATTTAAAAAAAAACTTTTCAAATTGCGTTGTGTGTAATTTATAATTCAAAAAAAAAAATTCTTACCTTTATATATATCCGGAATTACTATTATTTTGAGGAACCCGGTCCTAGAAATTGTTCTTCCTTTATAATATCTAAAATTCTCTTAACAAAAATATTCACTATTTTGTTTTTTTTTAAATTTTCTTATTTTTCCCTAATGTTCACTGATCCGGGTCGGTCGGTACCATTAAAATATTACTCCTTTTATTACTCAATTAACTTAATTTTCACTATTAAGATTTATATAATTTCACTATGAATATTTATTCATTATTTCTGGTATATCAGTTTATTCACAATAATTCAATCCAAATATCAACTTTTAGTACAAATAAAAATATATTTCACAATAATTTAATAATTCAATTCTTGGCGAATCAATCTTTTTCTTTCTTTTTAATTATCACTCCGCGATTAAAATCAACAAAAAATAATAACTCTTTTTTTAATCAATATCTATAATTTTTCTAAATATAAAATTATTTAACTGATTGACATTTATCAATCATTTAAAAATAATATCTTAAATATATATGAAATATACGAAATATATATAAAATATACCTCAGAGTCAACTCAAATAAGTTTAAAATTTTAAATTAAATTAAATAGAGAATATATTATACTTTTGTTTAAATATTAGGTTTACTAATATTTAAACGTTTTTTTTATGTTCCCCACATCTCTTTCTTATGCATAATTTTTAAGATATCTTACATACTTCTTACTAGTGTTGTTAAACGGCTCATTTTGAGCCGATTTTTAAAAACGGCTAACTCAATATTTTATCCAGAAATGTATTACATAAGCAATTTTTCCATAGATGGCACAAAGGTTTGGACATCTATTAGCGTAATTTTAAGACTTAGGCAATATTTTTGTGGTTAAAATCTTGAGTTAGCCTTTTTTTAAAATTGACTCAAATTGAGCCGTGTAACAACAATACTTCTTACATGGATTATAATATTTCTTACACCCATTACTATGATAGGCAGTTTCATTTAGAGGGTTAGGTAGGATTACGAATACTTGCATTTTTATATTTTATCAGTTAATAAATTAATTTAAATATTAATTAATTGCATATCCTTTGCAATTACTTTTTTAGATCTTTTCTCTCCTATACCTAATAATTGTTAAACCTAGAAAATTTCATTCAATTCATATGAATTAATTATATTATTTTAATTATTTTATTAACTTCAAGAATATCCCTTTAACAGGAATAAATATATATGGCATCCAATACTATACGCATGGGAATGTTGATAACATTTCAACTATGAGACGTAGTATTGGCTCTAACACAGCAAATATCATAATGGCCGATCATAATTATAGGGTAGATTATCAAAGTTTCCGATATCTTAAAAAGGGCATCATACTTAACAAAGTTAATTTTTTCATATTTTTTTTAAAAAAAATTTTATCAGAGACCTGGGACAAAAGTATTTTTGCTTTTCTATTCCGCTCTCATTATGGCTAAAAAATTTCACTTTCCATTTAGAACGCGTTTCTAAAAAAGTACCTTTGAGGGTAATGATACATATCTTCGGTCAATATACGAACAAATTTCAAAATTTATTAACACATTTTTTTTTAATAATTATCTAGTTAGAGCTGTGAGCCAATGAAACTATAGGCGCCCAACGCGATGTTTAAAAAACAAATCGGCATCTGGCGACGCTCCACTCTTTAGCCCGTCTTCGTCAAAGGCGAAGGGAATCGGCTCAACGACATATTTTTTTTATAATTTATACATTAAATTACTTTTTATAGTGTTTTTTGAAACGCTCAAAAATTATTAAGTGGAAATAAAATCTAGTAATACAATAATTTATTCTCTTATCTAACATAAATGCACCTTTTTGATCTCCTACGATACCACTAGCTTCTATGAAGAATTAAAAAATTAACCTTCCAATATAATAAAACACTTCAAAATATCTAAATATTCATTATTAGTAATTGGCTAAAAGGCCTTCCAATCTTGAAAGTGATTGTAACTTATAAGGAACTATAGTGAGGGTCGCGACCAGATCACTGACCTCTTCTAAACTCGTTTAACTATGTGAATATAAATCAGTGTTGGAATACTTATTTGTAGCTTTAGCGAAAAGTAGCGATAGATATTTCGCTACTTTTAAAATCAAATGAAATTGAAATTTGACTTATAATTTTGAAATTTAAACGTTTTGAATTATACTTACACACTTTTGTTTAAAAAAATAAAACTAATTGGATGCATTAATCCAACAAACAACACTCCTAAGTCAAGAAGTAGCAGAAATTTTTTATTGATACGGTGTAGCTTGTCATTGGGTGATAATGCACAGAGTTGGGTAGAACAGAGAGTATATCTTTCTAAGATGCAAAATACATTTGTATCTTTTTGACATTTTAAATAAGATACATATATCTTTATCTAATTTCATACAAATACAAATATTATTTTATATTTTTTGCTTAAAAATTTCAGAAGAGTTTATTTTTCAGGAATTCGGCTTGCTTAAATTTTATTGCTTTTCTATATTTATATTTAATTGGTATTCAATATTATTCTTTTTATTTTGACATACCAACTTTATTGTTTTAATCAAATTAGATAATTTAATTTCTATTTATATTTCACTATCAATTTTGAATTGCCCCTTTTAGACAAATTATACTGTGTTTAAAAATAAGAAGATTTGGGTGATTTCGATTGGTGTTTATTCATAATTGTATAGATCCTTGCAAAATATTATTGGAATATTTTTAATATAGTTGTCAAAATATCATGAATTTGTTAGTGTTTTAGATAATTTAAAAATTTTCATAAAAGAAAGATAAGCTGATAAACTTTTTCATAAAATGTATCAAGATACTCCTGTGCAGATATAAGTAGTTATAGCCTATCGTAGATATATTTTTTAGAATCTATAAGTAAATCTTATTTAAATACCTTGCCCACCCTTAGTACAAGAAATTTTTGTTACCAGACAGTGTTGACTAGAATAGCTGATAATTTTAGAGATTAAAGGGTATTAATAGTAAGAGATTTAACAGATATCTCCTATATCTGCACGACAGAAGAATCTTGGCTTCACAGGAGAAGGTAATAACTTATTTACATTGGGATTTATAATATATTAATATTCAAGAAAAACACGTCTATGAATACTTTTTGTGAGATATCACTTAATTTTATAAAATTAAAAATACCTTTGCTCTAAATAATGTTGGTTGAACAAGCTAAACTTTTCAAAATATTGCCACACAATAAATTTACCTTATTAGGTTCTCTTTTTACTAAAATCTATGTCGGAAGAAGCTTTTAATAAAATCTTTACAAACCTTTCGAAATGTCTGGAATTTTTGAATACCTACACCCATATATTTTTAGGTTCTCTGCATTTATAAAAAAATACTATTTCTGCTGATAAATTATAATTAAATTTTAAATCTTTTTTTAAAAAAATATTAAATTAACAAATTTTAACCTTCCCAAATTTCTATAAAATCTGATGGGCACTTATTAACAGGGACCCGGAGCAAACCGTTATAACAAACCGAACCTCTATTTTGAACCGATTAAAATTGTTTTGCTTTATATAATATAAATTATAACTTAGACCATAATATTTGATAACTTACACTTTACTTTTCTCTAAGGAGTTTATTTAATTTTATAATGGTATTTTTTTCTAATTTTCCTGCAAATCTAATATATTTTCATATTTATATTATTCATAAATGTAAATAATAACTTGTGCGTTATCTTAGCAAAATCATCTATATTTTTGTCTTCCTGTTTTTTATTTTAATTTTTTAAAATAAATAACTAAAAACCTGCAAAACTTTTATAAGTTTTAAAATCTTAACCACCGGAACCTTTATAATTTTAAGCAACTAAACCGTACCAAAACTGGAACCTTTATAATTTTTTGCCCCTGAATTGTAACCGAGCCGGATCCTTTATATATAACGGTTCGAGTTCCTGGTTATTAATCATAAAATTTCCAACTCTTATCTTGTAGATTCTCGATGGCATACTATCAAATCCTACCTTAGATTCGATATTCTTCTTAATGAGAGACTAGGGGGTCATGAATGGCTGGAGACCGTTCCCATTCGAAACCTTAGTAATCTCTTATCAGATAAGCAATTGATATTTACGACTAGGAAGTGACACCCTCCAACTAAGCAATTGCATTGATTGTAACATTTTGGTCATCTATAAGGGGAGGTATGGACTTAACTGTTTATACAGTCAAGGCCGAAACCAATGTCATATCTTAATAAATCTAAAAATTCGGAGCCTAAAAGCTGCTCAGATCCCATACATTTTTGAATGTAATAATCTATCATCAGAAGATAGTCTAAAATCAGATGGATTGTCTACAATACCTTAGGAGTCAAGTAAATCTCTTATTTAGAACCTTACTTCTCCTCTTTCTCTTCAGACAATATATCGAATCCTTTACTAACAGCCAAAACAAAAAAAATATTTAAAATTATCAAGTCATGTGTGCACTCCAATCGTATTATTAACAAGCGGACATTTTTCTACCTTAACATACAAATTTTTAAAACTTTTTTTACTCAAAATCAAAACATTTACTAATGAACCAAGAGAATTTCTCTTTCAAAGACAAAAATGCAAATTGACGTTCAAATATAACTAAGGTTCCTTTTTAAGAACCCAACTAAAAAATAGTTGGCCATGATATTTTAACCGTTTATAATAAGATTTTTATATCATATGCTTAATTTTTTTAAAGTAAATATTTTTAAGTAGTTTATATCAATTAACTTGAAATTTAACTGATTATTTTAAATCTTTTATAAAAGGGCGACCAGATAACACTGACGTGCAATTACGGCTCTTCTATATCTTTACATGGTTTTTATCAAATGGGGCTTTTCTGGGAACAGATGTCTTGCATGCAATTTTTGTATTATTACCCTAAGTTAAAAAACTTAACTTCTTGTAGAACCGAACCAATAATGTCAGATATCAGGGAATTCGGAACTAAAAATGATTCAAAGAATTTATTGTAATTACGATTGATTTAAATTAAATTGTTATTTATTATCTTTAACCTTTAAAAAAATTAAGTCATCAATTTTTTTTAGCGATATAAATAATAAATTATTTGAAAATACCCGGGCGAAGCTAATTGAATTCTACAAACAAGGGAACTTAGTCACACTGTGTAGGAATATTAATAGAAATCCAATTCAAGTTTAATATTTTACAAATATTATTTATTACACGTACAAAATAAATACTTTGAAATTATCTTCAAGAGAAATTAACAAAGATTTAGAAAATTTAACTACTAATATTGTCTCATATTATAAATAATATTTTTATTATATTAAGAATATTATTTTAAAAAATTATTCATAAGAACACTGAAAGATTTGTTAACTACCCAAATATAGAATATATAATGTCCGATTATCCAAGAAATGAAGGATCGTGTTTCGAAAAAAATAATACGGGAAAAGGTAATTTATTTATTTTATAATTTCAAAAAATATCATAAATTGAGCATATTTTTTATTCTAAATACCACCAAAATATACAAATTAGCCCGTGACAGAATTTCTAAATCCTTACAAGAGCCTAATCAATATGGACTAATTTCAAAACGATATTCAAATCAAACTAATGATTCACTTGCTATAAATGATTTGAAGATATTTTCAAATTTGGGAGAGTTTAAATACGAAAAGGATTATAAAGATATTAAGAATAAGGTGGAAAGAAAGGGGGAAATTAATAGTAATAAAACTTCGATTAGCCTTATAAATTTAACATTAAAATTTATAGTATTGTTGTGTTTTCATTTAAACTATTTCTAGTCAATCCATGTTACGTCAAAGCAATAATTAAATATTTATATTATATTAACAATTAACTTTTTATTAAAAAAGCTTATATATATTTATTTTATTTATGTTACATATTTTATCTATATTTATCAAAATTGATTATATTACACTATATATCGTTGAAAAATTATGTTAATTTTTAAAACGCCGTCGAATAATTGCTCAATTCAATAAAAAAAATAGGAGTTATATTTTGTAGGTCTAAAAATTATTATTGACAATTTAGGAGTAGGGCTCTGATTTACTAATATCTCACTATTCAGATATAACAACCAATCGAACAACTATTTTTATTTATTAAACAGGTAAAATAATGCGTTTAAAATATTTGAATCCAATACATTCAATTAGATGAGGTATTTTGGGAATATTTTTTTTAAAAAATATAGCTCAACCCTAATCTATACTTATCCATGGGCGTAGCCAGGATTTTGATAGGGGTAACTGTTAGGTTAGGGATTTCCCATAAATTTTATTGGGGGTCTTTAGGTCCACATATTTCAGGCATTTGGCTATGTTAGATTTAAAAAAATAAATTTGGATTTTACTTTTGTTTTATAAAAATTTTGAATTATAGTAATTATTTATCAGCTTACTTATTTTTCTTTCAAAATATTGTTTATAGCAATATATTAAATCCATTTTGGGGGTGAGGAGGTGAGAGAATTTGTTATCAATGATATTCACAGGAACAGGTAAATATTCGAAGGAAAGAGGGATATCTAGACCTGTGCGCCGGCAAACTATCGGCGGCCGGCGCAATTTTCAAAAAATCCTATAGACGGCCGGCGGCGCGCCGATTTTTAGGCGCCGTCAACAAAATCGGCGCAGTTATAAATTTTTATAACATAAATTTTTTTAATTGCTTATTATTTAAAAAAAACGAATATACATTACTCTACAGATATCTCGGCATATTTTTTAAATTTATTTAATAGAAAACTCATTATAAATCCAAAATCGATTTCGTAATTTTATAATTATCATGTATAAAAATTATTTTATTTAAATATTCGGGATAATAATAATCTCCTTGAATTTAACGTCAATCCAGCGGTAGAGAAAACTCTTTCACTAGGTGTGCTAGTCACCCAAATGCAAAGAATTTTTTGGCGAGCCTGGAAAGATTGGGAAGTTTACTCTTCTTTTCTCTCCAAAAGTCCATATCTTGTGAATATCGTTTTCCAAGAAAACTGTGGCATTATTGTTCTAAGTCACCTAACTTGGAATCATAATTTATATTTGTTGAATGTTTATTTGCCAATTTTGTCAAATAACTTAAATTTAATAATTCATCTTGATCCTCATTAGCTATATTTACTACCTGATTATCATCATTCTCTATAAGTTTAAGATGTTTTATTATAAATTCTGAAGCTGAAAAATTTTGCTCTATTAAATACTTTGACACAATTGTCAATTTTTGAAATCTTGGATCTAAAAGAGAGGCCAATACCTTAATATCTTATATTATTACTTGCAGATTACACACCGAAAATCGTAACGCAAGTTTTTTAGCATATTTTCCTTAAGTGAAATGATTTCAGTACTATCACTATCATTTACTATTCAATTTGTTTCAATTTCACTTCTAAAAAGTAACGCCAAGTTTAAAGTAGGCCCTTTTTGTACTGAAAGAAATTCGACAGTTTCTTTAAATTTTGAAAGAAATGCTAATCGTTTTTCTACCAGCTTAGATTCATAATTTGAGAAAGTGCTTCCCAATTCTTTTCAAAATATTAATTAAATTATTATTCAATCCAGATATGCTTTCTAGCATAATTAATATACTATGCGTGGAATTATTGTCATTGGAATTGCCAATTTGAAAATGGGTATCCGGGTATGGATCAATGCTGTCAAGATCTAACATGTCTGATGTTAAATCGATTGTACTTAGACATTTTTTTGATCTTCCTCGAATTCAAATTCAACCTCTGCAGTTTTATATCTTAGAGCAGTAATAATTTCTCTAATTCTTTTGCAAAAAAATTTCCAGACTATGGATTTTTTCAGAGTTGTTAAAGTATCTAGATATAAAAATGTGGTATCTGTATCTAGATAAATTTTTGATTAAAGTATCTGTATCTAGATATTATTTTAGAGGTATCCATATCTGTTTTTAGATACTTTTTAAGATACATTTTGATATACTTCTATTTAACGCTTTTTTATATTATAAATAAAAATACTTGAATGTAAAATTTATTTTATTTTATATGAGCATATAACTTAATATTAATATATATATATTAAAAAATTATATATATATATATATATATATATATATATGTAAAATATAAAAACTTATATATAAAAAGAATATATAAATATTAATTAAATATTATGTCCAAGTTATCAATAACAAGCAAATTCTGATATTACAATCCATCTCAAGAAATTTGTCATTTTTAATTGCAATGGAATTGGTATTTTATTCTATTATATTAATTTTTAAGATTAATATTGATGACGAAAATGACAACATTCTTCCATGGCCAATTTATAGAGCATATTTTAAAGTAATATCTCAAAATAAAGAAAACTAATCTCTGTTGGTAAAATTTTTGCCATGTCTACCAAAAAATATGCAAATTTCAGTTAGCATTACCTCAACTTGCTACATTGTAAAACATTTAAGGGTATAGATACTAAATAAATGTTTACAATTTTAAATTTTAAGAGAAAACATCAAACACTCTTAATCCAAATAAAAAAGGGGAAGGAGAAAAAATCTATTAAAGAAAATATTGAACTAGGCTCATCGTCCATTGATTTTTTTTCCAAGAGACCTCAGATTTTAACCCAAACCACTTTAGATGATTTAATAACTGATTTTATTATAGATAGCATTCAGCCATTTTCAATTGTTGAAAATCCTTCATTTATAAAAATGATCAAAACATTAGCTCCACAAAAAAATATAATTTGCCGACAGACAGTGGTTGTTACTGAAATCTAAAATATTTATCATATATTATATTATTTTATTAATGATATATAATAACTATTTATATTAATCATATATTATATTAATCATATATTATATTAATCATATATTATATTAATCATATATTATATTAATATCTAAAATTCATTATTTTAGTTATATTTTGATAAATGTGATATCGAGTCAATAAATTTTTTAGATCATTTCATAAATTTTTACAATAGAATCCTAATTTAGGTTTATTCAAACCTTATCTAAGAGTATAATAAAAAATGTATCTGTACATAGATACATTTTAAGTTGTATCTGTATCAAGATAACTTTTTGGAAGCTGTATCTGCATCTAGATAAATTTTTAGACGATGTATCTGTATCTAGATTTATTTAAAAAGTATTTTTAACAACTCTGGATTTTTTATTATCCAGAGTTAGGATACTAAAATTATTTATAGAATTATTAAATGTAGATGCATCCATTTTAAAAATATGTAAAATTATGGTAACTTTTGGAATTTTAGATTTGTGATTGATTGAATTCTATAATGACGTCAATATAATTATGATTTTAAAATAGTAGAAAATAATTCATCAAAATCTTGATTGACATTAAAAAAAATTACAACAGTGATGTTGACGAATTATTAGAATAAAAAGGTATGAAATATGAAAGAAATTTCTGCGCCGCCAATATGAAAATCGGCGGAGCGCCGGCGTGGGTCTAGGGATATCCCACCCTGAGTACGCCTATGCACTTAGGCTTCGCTATATATAAATTTGCCTAAATTTTCAATGATTGATGTAGACAGCTCTATTCTAGATATAAGATTTTATAAAAATACTATATAACTAATATACAAAATAATATTTACAAATTTGATTCAGCGATTATAAAAATAATTAAACTGTGGTACTAGTTAATAAATATGCATTTAAACATAAATCAATCATATTCTAACTTCGGACATTTGTTCTTTCATTTTTAATATCTCTTTCATTCTGAGCGGATTTTTACTATAAAGTTCGATAAAGGCGTCAACTTGGATAGTTTCGATATTGTTAACCTTTAAAAAAAATATTAAAAATTCAGTTTTTATTTAAACGCTTACAAAAAACGCGTTTAGCTAAAAAAAAATTAAAAAAAGCGCGCTGATGACGCTTTTGTCCCGATTAGCAAATCCGCTTTTAAATAAAGTGGGTTATGGATAGATTTCTTTAATAAGGAAAAAAAACATTTTTGATTTGTAAATACCGTGATGCCGATCCTAAAATTCTTTTGTAAGCAGTTATTTTTTGTAATGCTTTGTGGATGGTCATTATCGATTAAGGTAGGAAGGGTGATTGCTTCAGGTGGAACTATTATACCCTATTTTATGAGAGCAATATAATAATAAATATTAGAATTGTTCATAAGTTTTTACCAAAAAATCAAATTGATAACTGATTAAGTATGACTTTTAAATTAACAAAATTTAATCTTTTCTTGAAAATTTTAGTAAACCAACTTAGATTTAAGAATTTACTCTTAAAAAAAATTTACGGCATGTCTGAAAGCAATTGATATGTGATTAGAATCAAGAGTCCAATCATTGTCAGCATTCATGAGTATTCTTAGCTTCATTTCTTTCAGTCTTCGTATAACCTTTAATATTATATATCATAATTTATTTATAAAAGCAGTGTGCGTGTTTTTATAACTCTAAAATGTACTTTTCTAAAAGCAATTATTTTTCCCTTTAGAATATTTAGGAGTTTGTGTAGGAATGTACCGATATTTTATATCGGATAGGATCGGGCCGATATTTCACCCATTTAACATATGGGTTATCGTCCAATATTATAAAATTTTCCGATCCGATACGATATAAAATGGCGTCTTTAACAAAAATAAAATGTTATAAAATTTTTAAAAAAAGTTATATTAAAATCATTTATTTTTATAAATAAAATCGAAATCCATTTGTATGTATATTTTTTTAATAATAATAATCAATAAACATTCTGCCATATTGTTATTTTTTTGCGCATTCTGTTTATAAAAGTGTGCGAAAATCTTCTCAGAATCTGTTTTAGGTGAAGCTGGTGATATTGACAGTTACCATCGCCGCAGGCTTACCTCTGATAAATTGGAAATTTTGGTATTTCTAAAAAGAAATCTTCGATATATTAATGTTAAATATTATTTTAAATATTTATTTCAAATTTCATAATATATTTATTTATTACTTATAATGTATATAGATTAATGTTATATAAAAGTGATACAATAAAAATATTGTATATACTTTTAGATGCAATTAAATTGAATATTAGATGCAATTAAATTGAATATAAAATATAACTGTATAATATATTTAAACGACATAAGTTATAGTATAGTTAAATTATAGATGTTATACTAATAAAAATATATTAAAAATTAAAACCATTGGTATCTTTACAAAATTAGATATGATATCGGATCGGTAATAAGCCGATATCAGTTTAATATCGGATCGGTCTCCAAAAAGTGGTATCGATACACCCCTAGTAAAAATATAAATAATTATCTCATTCAAGGGTGCCCGCAAAAACGTGGAAATGCAGGGACATTTTTTGCTAAAGTTTTTATTTCTTTTTCATTTTTGCTGACTTTTTGTGTGCTTTTCTGCGATTTTTTTCATAAAAAATTATTAGGGGCCAGGAACAACTGTAAACACATTTTTCAAGCCGGGTGTGGTAAAAATAATTATGGGCTAAGTCAGAAAACCCGATAAAAAATTTTCATAGGCTGGCTTAGGCAGATCTCTTGTTGCAATTTACTTGACTTTTATAAAAATATAGATATAATTGAATATTTTTTATTGTTTATGATTCAATGGTGTTATAACGTGCATAATGAAGCAAACCTACCATCACGCATTTTTGATTGAAAGTAGTTCTTTAATCTTTTCAAATGCTAAATTGTACATGTTGTAGGCGTGTAGCTAAGAATTTTCTCTGGGGGAAGGATATTTTTTTAAATATTATAATGATTTATTTTTGGTACATTGAAAATTTATAAAACTAATCATAATTAATCAGCATAAGTAACCTATCTTATTTATAAAAATGACAATTTTGAACACAAATAATATTGGAAAATACAAAATATTTAAAAGCAAATATAATATTGATAAAAAATATTATAGCGAAACTGGTATGTAAATCATGATAAAATAAAATATAGAATTATGCTAACAAAATATTGTTCATAAGTAGAAATTTAACTTTGAAATTGCATCAACCTTTTTTATAGGTTGTTCTTTATTGGAAATTAAATCCCTATCTATATTAAGTAGAGCTAGCTCATTTACAAGCACTTTTAAAATAGGTCTTTATTCTCAGCAATGAAGAAAAGATCCTCTCATTTTTGCTTGTACTAATTGGTATTGTTCCAAAATACTCGTGCTTAAATAACATTTCTCAGATATTATCTACTAGAATTAATCTTTATTACCAACTTTTAAATTAAAAGTAATTCTGAATAAAATTGAGCTTTCAATATCAAGATTTAATATAACATCAGAAGAATTTCTAAGTAATAGTATTTGTAAATTGGATAATGCCTTTGAAGAATTGGAAATAGTTCATTGATTTGTGTTAAAAATGTATCCAAAAGTAGAATAAAAATGGTTAGTTCATATTAATCCATAAATGAGTCCAATATTAAAATGGTTTGTTTGTAGGGTGCAAGTCAAGGCTTGCAAATTTTAAAATATGATTTTGCTCTTGCCTCAACCGACTAATGATGCATAGCGTTAAACGTTATTGATTCTTAATGTGCTTGATTGTAATTTTATCCTTATATACAAAAAGATTTGATCAGGGGTTCGAACCGTACCCGAACCCAAAGAAGAAAACCCGGGTTTTGGGGAAAAAAATTTGAACCAGAACCGAACCTGAAACCCGTTTATAAAATTTTCAAAACCCCGAATTAAACCCGGGAATTTTATTTGAACTCGAGTTCTACCGGGTTCAGTGTATTGTTTAAATTAATATAAGATATTTGTATAATTGTAAATACAAATATTAATAATTTATTTGACATTTTATATTTTCAAATTTCCATTTAAGTGAAATGATAATAAATTTAAACAACTTAATTCATTTACTCCATTTTTAAATTTATTCTCAAAGATTCCTATTTTGTTAATAAATTACAATTAAATTCATATATGCCATTTATTTTTAATTTTAACTTATTCTCAAAGATTATTAATTAAAGGAAAATGAAAGTGAATAAGTTAAAGTAGAAATTATTAATTGGATATTGTTAATTTAAAGAAATACGTCTAAATAAATTTTTTTAAATCTATACATGACTATGCTTTGTATTTTTAACTATATTTCTCCTATAAATAAAATAAAAAATTAATTTTTTATACCAAATTTATGTCAAGTTTTTTAATTATGATTTAAATATAGAATTTTTTTTGATCAATTCAAAAATTCTTAAACCCGAGCTGATCCCGGACACAAACCCGGGTTTAAAAATATTTCCCTGAAGCGAGCCCAAACCGAACAATCCTATTTTTTTAACATTTGATGATTTTTAAAAGGGTCCTAGTTGGTTCAGTACATGTATAACAATTCGATGGTTATGGGTTCAAATCTAGCATGGGCCATGTTTTTTTTAAGCCAACTTGGTGGTTCCATCTATGGGCAGAAGATATATAGAAGATCGAATTCAACCTCATGATTAATATATATTAAAAAATAAATAGGTCTGGTTTAGTAAGTGGTCTAAAGTAGGGCTGTGCCGATCCACATATTTTTCACCGATCGATATTGCTTTAAACCCGATCCGATACCGATCCGATATTTATACTGATCCAATATTTTTTATGCAAAAAATCGAATTATGAATTTAATTGAATTTTTTTATTTCTACAATTAAGACTAATAAAAAAATATATATTTAATAATATATCCATTTTATGTTGGTGTGAATTATAAAATTGTAATATTTATAAAATTATAATATTCGATTTTTTTAATAAAAATGAGAGCCTCTAGATTTTCTGGAAATAAGTTTCTATGATATGGACTATCTATATCTCCTGCCGTACTGAAAGCAGACTCAGATGATTCCGAAGATAACGCATTTTGCAAAATTATCTTTGTCGTTTGTAAAATATTTCCATAATTCAGATAACATATTTAAAAAATTCCTTTATTTAAAGTATAAGTAAAAAAATTGGCGTTATTTAAATTGATTTAAAATAAATAAAACTTTGGGTATTCCTTTCTATTTTTATAAAAAAAACTTTTAAAATACTATAAATCTATTTTAAAAAAGAAATAAAATTTAAAAAAATTATTTAGAAAATATTATAATAATGTAAAATAAATAAATATACATAACATAAAATAAAATAACGGGCATGACTTTTTTAAAAAAACTGTATCTTGACCGGGGACGCGTAGTTTTTTTTTTTAAAAAATAAATTTTTAAAAATTTTACTAAGTTAACACATTTTTTTTAAATCATAAAAAACATTTTCGATATTCATTTAATGAGCTAAATATGAATCTGCATTTATTTTTAAAAAAAAATTGTATCTTGACCGGAAACGCGTAGTTTTTTTTTAAAAAAAATAAATTTTTAAAAATTTTATTAAGATATCATTTTTTTTTAAATCATAAAAAACATTTTTTAACTTATTTTATGAAGCTAAATATGATTTTTAATTAATATTATATAAATTAAACCTCTTTGACCGGGAACGCGTAGGGACGCACAGTTTTCAGGGACGCGTATTTTAGCCACACCCAAAATAACAAAAAAAAGAAAAGTAAAAAGATCGGATAGGGTTTTTACAGTTATCGGCCTGATCCGATATTTTCGGAAAACGCTAAATATCGGTACCAATCCGATCTGATATTTAATATTGGCACAGCCCTAGTCTAAAGTCATATTATTATTACCCCACCTCAACCATCACTTAAATCTCGTAAAATATATTAGAAAACTTTACAATTCACAAAAAACTTTATATTCTTCAAAAATAATTTATAATCTGTATTTTTTGCTATAGATTAGTGACAGTTTAATTAATTTTATATATATGGCATTTTCTAGCAACATGGAAATTAATTTCACTGAAATTAAAAGATCGGTGTCAGTTAGTATCTTTCCTCCTACATTTCTACCAAATTTAAACATCATGGAAATTTCCTATATTTTAAGGCATATTATTTGATGATTCTGCAATATAAATAAAAATTTATGACTATTATATTTCCAAAAATAGTACCTTACGTGATTCAATTAAATCTTACTCTTAAATTAAAAAAAATCTTGCAAAAGATATCTAAAAATAATTTTCCCGAAGGGATCATAAGTTTAAAATAACATATCTTTTTTAAAAATTATTTGGAGGGGAATGGTAAGAAATTGATGGCAAATCCTTATAAATTTTTAAAAATTAAGTCATTACAAGAATTGATGACATGAAGCATGCTCTAAGTCTAAAGGTGCTTGCTTTTTTGATATTTACTGTTAGATTAAGAAAAAAGAGGTGTAGCCCATCAAATAACTATTTCTCATATCTAATCACATGTGGGTTATATTATAAAAATTTTTTAGTAAGCAAATAATTACTGTAAAAATAATTAACAAATAAAATTCATCCATTTTTGTCCAATTTTTAATTAGGTATAAAAATTCAATAATTTACATAATAAATAAGACTAAATAAGACTAACTAAAAAATTACCCCAGATGCAAATGCTGAATGAACATTTTTTGACATGTTGTCATCCTAAAAATTGATATTTATAATTATGATAAAACAATAATATTAACTATTTTTTCTTGCATAAAATTTTCAAGGTTTTCAGGAGAAGCATAAACAGCATATCCTGATGGCAACAAATCCAGATATGCTTTCTCCTTCCAAACTTCGATGATGTCACCTCTTACACCTAGTTCTAAAAAAAATTAATTTAATTAAATTCAATAATCAACCTTCAACTGTTGTAGTCAATATTAGTTTTAATTTACCACTTGGATTTAGAGATATGTCCTCAAGTTGTTCATATACATATTTTTTACGATCTATGGGTTCTTTATCCATACATTTTTGATAAAAATGTTTATCGGGATCAACATGTTTCAACATATAAGTGTTCTAATGAAAGATATAAAATATTAAAATTAATACTTACTCGTTTGGAATATATAGGCACACATGAAACATATTTGTTAATATTCAGGAGTGATTTAAACATCGTTTTTCGAAAAACTTAAAAACCGAACATTGAAATAGTGCTTAATATATTTAAAATCATAAACACAACTTTAAAAATGATAAATATTATATCAAAAATAAATTATTTTTAATAGTAGCTAGAACCATATTATTACACGTTTAAATTGCATTTCAAAAAATTATATTATTAGCTTGGCTATTCATATCGGTTTTCCTGATGTTTCGATATTTTGCATATTATTAACCAATGTAAATTCCAAACTATGTCAAATAAAGATGATTATTTTAATTTAAAATTTAATCTGATACTTGAATCAAAAATTTGTAGGATACTCGAATATGTAAGATTTATAAAAATTATATCTGGGGGATTAGTTGGTATTGGTGATGATAAGTATATAATTATTACACATATTTAATAATGGCTTTAGCTATATACGAGTTTGGGGTGAATATGATAAACAATCAGAGCAATTCAAACTTCTTCTTTGCCAATCAGTATTATGTAAGTATATATATTTTATTTATAAACTTATATTGAAATAAAGCTCAAATATCTTCATTTGAATTTTATGATTCAGCATATAAATGTTTTATTGGTCTATCTATGGGACTTGTTGCAGTATTATATATAATTGATATTATATATTCTCGTTTTTAAGGAATACAAATTATCCCAAAATATGACAAATCTAACCCACATTAGAAATTATAATGGTTAGTTACAATTTGTTTATATGAAAACATTATCTTTAGGACATAAATCAGCAATATTATGCATATTTTATTCAGCAATGAATAATATACTATTAACAGGAGGGCAAGATAAAATTTTATTTTGGCATAATACTACTACTGGATTAACACTTGGAAGCATAATAAACCACAAAATTATAACTGCTTTAGAATATCCTTTTTTTATCAATATTTATTAATATATTGCCTTTTTTTCTATTAAAATTCATATAATTATTAACCTTAACTTCATACAATATATATACTTTTGACTCTGCAGCTAAATTGATATTTATAGGTGACTCAGGTGGAGATATCCATTTGATTAAAATTGAAGATTTACATGGTTACAAACCTTTGACTGTTTTAAAAGAGCATACAAGTTATATATTATAAAAAAAAATTCATTTTAATGTTGAATATAATATCATAAATATTGTAATCTTAGTTCTGCATCATAGCCCAAATTAATTATTTTAAAACATATATTATAAAAATATCCTTGATAAATTTGCTAAATTTAATTTTTTTTAAAGTAGCCACTATATCATATGGTTTAAATTAGTTGGCCTGAATTGTTTGGCTGACCTCAATTTTTTTTATCTAACCCATCAAAAAAAAATTTTACAGTCTTCCATCCTGCCCATATTAATTTTATAAAGTAGTTGTAAGCTTTAAGATAATTAAAAAAAATGAATAATATTCTATTCTAACATGATAATGATAACTGTATAATAATACATAGCGTTAAAATACTAAATTAAAATTATATAAAATAAAATAAATTAAATAAAATATTATATAAAAACCGAGGTGGGACTACAAGTTCCCAAAAAACATGTGTAGTTATATTTTAAAATTATGATTTGGAAGTTTTGTTTTAAGAAATAAGATTCTTTAGGGTCTGATGTAAGGGCTCTTATCTTATCCCCTATATTTTTTAAAAACTTTAAAGTTCCACTTGGCATATGTCCAAGGGAAGAGATGACAATCGGTGTAAAAATATAATTTGTGAATTTGGAATATTTCATTTTTTTTTTTCTCGGCTATATCAACCGGATTAGAATTTAAATTTTTTGGGAAAGAAGATACATTTTAATACATATTTTTCCTAAAATATAGATTTTAAGTTAGTTTGTATTATATATATATTTTTTTTTTTTAAATATAAATTTTTATTTAAACATTACTCAATTATTCTTAATACAACAAAATTTAAATTTTTAATTTTAATTTAACTTTTATTTATATAAATTTTTTTTTAAAAATAAATAACTTTTTTTTTTGAAAAATCACTCATTCATACATACCCCCTACCCTCTTCTCCTTTTTTTTATTCTTCTAAAATGGGTATGTCAAGCATTTGTAATGCCTGCCATAGAAATATAACCTTGACCCAAGCTATTTGTTTTTATAAACATGGGCCCAGGTCTAAACCATGTATAAACTCTGGTAAACCCCCTTCAAATGAAATTTTATACAACAAAATTGAAACAACCCCCATTGTAATCCAAAATTTTTATCCTGATTTTTATGATAATTTTTTAAAGTGGGAAAAGCCACCAACCTTAATCCACCTACCCCTTAAATCAAGGTCTTTAATTTCTAATTTTTTAACAACACTTATTATGGAAGTTAATTCAAATTTAAATTCCCTTAAAGCTTGGGAGAATCTTTTAACCTTACCTTTCCTTTTAAAGTCTTAATTAAACCTACAGATAAAAATAAAAAAACTATTTTACATGAATATATAAAATATAAAATAGACCATTTCTATGATTTAGAAATGGAAAATTACGTTCCTGATGTAAGGGCAACATCTAATTTTTCCCATAAATGTAAGATTATATCAAAAAAAATAGACCAAGGGAACGTATGTGGAGCTCTTAAATTAGCCTCATCTAATGATAAATTGGCTCCATTTGATGAACATACTTTTACTTTACTAAAAGAATTGCACCCTCAGGCTTTTCCTGAAGATCTTCCCATCCCTATAAAATCTAATTTAATCGAAATAGGTAAAGAAGAACTTATTAAAACAATTTTATCTTTTAATAAAAACTCTGCAGGGGGAATTGACGGTTTTCGCCCCTCTTATTTCCAATTTTTAATTAACCCTAAAAATCCTCATAAAGATACATTTGTAAATTCATTGGTAATACTTAGTGAAAATATATTGAACAATGATTTACCCAGTCAAATTCACCAAATCCTTTTTGGCGCAAGATTAATTGCTTTTACTAAGCCTGATGGTGGAGTTCGGCCAATCGCAATAGGGTCTTTTTTTAGGAGACTATTAGCTAAGATAATCGTTGAGCGCATCAAACCTGATGCTTCAAAAATGTTCCAAACATATCAACTAGGCTTTGGTACTAAAGGGGGATGCGAAATAGCCGCTCACTCTCTTCGCATATATATCGAAGATCCTCCTCCAGACGCCGTAGTCTGTAAGCTTGATTTTAAAAATGCTTTTAATTCTTTATCCAGAAAAACATTTTTAAACATTTTTTATGAAAAATTCCCAGTTTATGCAAGATTTATTGAACAGTCTTATGGCTGTAGAACCCCTCTCAAATTCGGGGAATATACAATTCCTTCTGACGAGGGTATTCAACAAGGAGACCCTTTGGGCCCTCTGATCTTTAGTTTAGGTATACATAACCTAGTTCATTGTCTAAAATCCTCTTTTAATTTAGATTTAAACATATGGTATCTAGATGATGGTACCATTTGCGGACCTTCTAAAAATATTCTTGCAGCGATAGATTATATAGAGAAAAATTCTCTAAACATAGGCCTTACTCTAAATAAAGCTAAATCGGAAATATGCTTTTTAAATTCAAATACTCTCAAAGTCCAAGGGTTTAAAATCATCAAAAAAAGTGAAATTAATCTTCTAGGTTCACCTTTAAGCAGTTTTTCCAACTGTGAGGTGTTCGTGGAAAAATTTTTCGAAGGCTTATCAGGACTCGAAACTATTTTAAACGAAATTCCTTCACACCAGAGCTTTTTTCTTTTAAAAAAATATTTATTTTTACCAAAGATAGTACATATTTTTAGATCTTCTTCCTTTTTTTAAATAATGAAATTATTAATCGTGTTCATGAATTTTTTAGAAGTTTATTAGAAAATATTTTAAATATTAAATTGGAAGATTTTAATTGGGGTTTCTCACAATTACCCTCGAAAATGGGTGGTTTAGATTTATATCCTTTAAACCTTCTATCTTTTTCCTCATTTTTGGCATCGCGTTTGATGAATAACGCCATGATATCTTCTTTTATATCTCCTAAAGATAACCTTTTAAACTCAGCCTTGACAGCCTGGACATCTTTAGCTCCACCTGAAGCTGTCTTACCCACGATCTTAACACACCAATCTCTTTTCGAACCTTTAATTAAAAAAATTTTTAAAATAATCTCATCAAACCCCCCTTTGGAGTATATTCAACTATTACAGAATGCTGACTGTACTAGTGGTTATGAATGGTTGGAAGCATTACCAAGTCGTAACCTAGGTAACCTCTTATCAGATGAACAATTAAGAGTTGCCATAGGCCATCGACTTGGATGTAACATTGTTCAACCACATACATGCATCAAATGTAAAACATTAGTTGACTCCAAAGGGAGACATGGTCTAAATTGTATATATAGTCAAGGCAGGCATGCAAGGCATGCAGCAATTAATTTAGCTATTAGCCGTTCTCTTACCAGGGCCCGAATACCAAACATCCTGGAGCCTACAAATTTATCGTTAGATGATGGCTTAAGACCAGATGGTTTAACTTCCGTGCCTTGGTCTTTAGGGAAATCCTTAATTTGGGACTTCACATGCGTATCTTCTTTCCCAAAAAATTTAAATTCTAATCCGGTTGATATAGCCGAGAAAAAAAAACAATGAAATATTCCAAATTCACAAATTATATTTTTACACCGATTGTCATCTCTTTAAGATAATTTGTTAATTTAATATCATAAGTTCTATTTTATATTTTTTGAATAAAATTCATATGCAGTTTATAAATAATTATTATTAAAATATTCTAACATTGTTATCATTTATATTCAATTTATCATTTTTTTATATATTGGTAACTGATAAAATACTTTGTAAACAATTCACTATTACTAATTTAACAAATTTGTTCATAAATTTTGCAGGAAAACATAATTTAATTTTTTTAAATATATCCTCAATTAATCACCTTGTATTGTGAGTTATTTTCCTCTTAGGCTTATTCCTCAAAATTATAATATTTAATTTAAATCAAAAATATTGCAAATAATTTTATAAATTGGAATTTTTATTTTTAAAAAATCGTGATTTTAGCTAATCCTAATAAATTCTTCAACCTCTCCATTATGAGACAAGATTATTAGCCATGTCCTGTTTAGCTAATCCTTATTAATAAAAATGAATATGAAGTTCCAAAATAAATTACCAATATAAAAAAATAAAAACTTCATGGGGTAAATGTTACCTATATAATAATGAGCTTAACTCTTTGCCGTTTCTTAAAACCCGCTTAAATTTAGGTTTTCGACTGTAAACCAAAGCCAATTTGTTATTATTAACTCAAAGCAAAACAAAAGCACTATTTGTTGAGAAGGAACATTAAAAATGAAACGTAAAACTGTTATTTTCCTGCCAGTTTTCATAAAATTAGTATATTAATTTTTACCAGAAAGCATTAATGAGAAAATCAAAAATGCAAATTTTTTGGAGAGATGAGGGGGGGGGGGAGGTGAGTTGATTATTAGTTCAAACAATTTTTCATATTTTCTAATGAATTCTAATATAGGATGCAATCATATATGCATTGATTTATTTTTGTTGTTGAGTTTAATTGTCATCTATCTATAATATAATGGTATTTTAAAGTATAGAACTACCCCCCCCCCTTAATTTTTAGTTTGATGCTTGATTTTTATTTATTTTTTATTTATTCAGGTGAGGTAACACAAATCACTTGGGATCCTATTCGTATGAAACTATATTCGGGTAGTAACGAAGGAATTATTCTTATATGGGACATAGGGGGAAACAACGGGAAAATAATACAACTCGAGGGACACACGTAATTTCAAAACATTCATTATTGAAGCTTAATTTTTTTTAAATAAGGCTAAACCTCTAAAGTTACCATCATAGTCACTTTATAATCGGAGGTTTATAGTGAACGTAAATAATTGCATTTTTGCGAAAAAATAACTAATCTTTTTAAGAATGTATCTAGTAACTATAACAAGTTACCTTTCAAAGGTAACTTTTGACAACACTGCTATATGCAGATTATATTAAATAATATCATTTGTAATATATAATTGTTTTAAATATATTTATCTTTATATAAAAAAAATAGGCAGAAAATTAGCAAAATTATTGTTTCTTCTAAAGGCAATTATTGTTTGTCTTCTAGTATGGATGGAAACATCATAGCCTGGAATATGACGGTTCCTCGTAAAGAGGTTATGTTTTTTTTTAATTGAGCGAATTTGAGAAAGAGTAAAATGTTTAGAAATAGGGTGTAGAGTTTTACAACTTAGGCTAAAGCCATACCAGAACCTTCGGGGGCATGATTTTAAAATAGCAAGCCAAAAATCTAACTATTATTTACAAAGAATTGGATAATTCTAACGTTTCTGCGTTTAAAATTTTATTCGCTTACTATTTCTATTAATTTCTATAATTTTTCTATATTTTAAAGTATTATAGGTATATGTATTATATTTAAAACTACCATGTATAATTTATAAGATTTCCGGAAGAGAAAAAATATTCAAAAAAAAACCTTACTGATTCCAATCACATAGTATAATAAATGCATTATTTAAAATTCATTGTATACTACCCCACCTCATTCATATCACTCAAACCTCGTAAATTAATACTGCCATCTTTATTTGTTAAAGTATTACGATACTCTATCCCAAAGAATTTTCACATATCGAACAATATCAACTACACTTTTGCAATTTGAAAGTATCAACTTAGCCCAATATATTTTTTGTATCAATATCGAAAAATCGATATTTTTATATATTTACAGCTTGAATTTTTAAAAAAATATTTAATTTTTTTTTATTAAATTAATTAATCAGAGTTATTTTACATTTTAAATAAATATTAATTAAAAATTATGATTAAAATAATTAATTTTAAAGCAAAATCTTGATAATTTTTTCAGTACATAGTGTAAAGATTCTCCATTTTTATTAATTTTCCTAATATTAAACAATTATTTATAAAATAAAACACCACCATTCCTTCCAGCAAACCTGGTGAACACTTATTCAGTGTTGTTAAAAATGTTTTTACTGATAGGAAAGGATGTCTTTCCCGTGAAAAAACTTTGAAATATCTTATTGATCAAATAATTGATATTGATGTTAATTTGTAATTATTTTATGAAATATGCATTACTATAATTATTATTAATGTATTTATTAATTAGTAATTAAGTATATCACAAAAAGTATCGATAAATTAATGTATCGTATCGAATACATTTAGGAAAACTATATTTGTATCTGTGTCGTTACATTTCAATAGTATCGTTAACAAGTCTGCAGAATTTTTTTTAACAACAATAAAAACTAAAAATGAGATTCATTTGTCAGGCGATATATTATAAAAAATGTTTGTAGATTAAAAACATTTAAAAATATATAGAACCAATTTTAGAACTGTGCGTTTGTTTCCCTAAAATATTTTTTTTTAAATTGTAACATTGGGGACCTAATAAAGTATATCAAAAATATAAGAAAAAATGAAATTATACTAAATAATGGATACTGTTTTCACTCTATCCCAAATCAGGCTTCTGTTTGGATCAAGAATCAGTAAATAAATAATTTTGCTTGATTTTACTTTTATCATTTCTAGATTTTTTTCTAGGGTTTTTTAGGACTATTTTTCCGCTTATTAATTTATATCTATATAAATATATTTATAGTTTGCTTTGATATGGCCTAACCAAAAATCGATATAGTTAAGATTTAAGATATCGTTAAAATAAGAAACATAAAAGTAAACGATCCTTTTTTTTAAATCTTAAAAATAGTTAGATGTTTTTATTATGAATAAAAATGTAAACATTTGATTTTAAAAAAATAACTATTACCAATTTTAGCCGGTATCTTGGCGTGAAAACGATTTTTGCGAAAATTGTAAAATACCCTTTTTTTGGAATTTCAAATCCATGATCGAGGGGAAAATTATCGGAGTTAGACAGGTTTATTTTTATACAATTCTTATTATTTTTAAAGCAGCTTGATTATTCAGGGTTCTAACTCCACTTTGGTCTAAAATATAGATACACAACCAATATCTTGTTTGCTCATATATTTAGCTTGTGATTACGATTATTATTTATTAATTTCTTAATCTGTTTTACCAATCAAAAAAAGAATTAATTTTGGAAATATTGTTCTTGGGGGATCCACTTCCACCTATATATATTCAACAAGAAAAACCTCTACAAATTTACTTGGAATATGTTTTTCATATAACTATATAAAATATAGTTCTTACTTTTTTTTAATCCAATGTTTTAAATATTAATATTATAAAGGATAAAGCATTATTTTTAACGCGTGGATAAAATTTAAAATTTAATTTTAAAAAATCATTTAGAAGAAATTCAGGATATAATAGTGTTGACTACAGAAAAGATGGCACCTTTGATAATTTTTCCAGTTATAAATACTTAAAATAGCTATGCTTAAACTTGATTAAATAAATTATAGGTATTTAAAAAATAAATTTTTCTAATCATTTAAATTAATTATTATTATTTTTAAATGCCAATATTCTGACCTAAATTATGTATTAATTCTTCACCCACTTTAGCCACTTAAAGTCTGCCACATTTTTATTTCCTTATATATTAAATTGTATCTTTCACTTCCCCTTCCCCATCATCTCTATATTTTGTTCTTAACCTTACTCTACTCCTTTATCTGAATTTATCTTAACAATTTTACACATTGTTCCATACAACATAGGCGTAAATTTTCCTAAGGTTTATATGTCCCACTCCCACCCATACATTTTATTAGAGAGCATTTTTTTGGCATGTTGCATCTTTTTAAAATGCTTTTGCTGAAAAAAAGCATTTTAATCAAGCGTGTCACAAGACAATAAGCATTTCCCAAGAGCTTATTGGATACGCAAAATCTAAAAAATATTGTAAACCGATATTTTTATAATTTTTTTATCTTAATATGTGTATTTTCAAAGATCTTTGAGCTCTCTAAAACTCTTACAAGAATCAAGTCTTCAATAGCTCTTCTTGTGACTGACTGTGGTCATTTTTCAAAGAAAAACACTTTCTATAATGATATACTTGGGGACTAGTGTAAGAGTATAATTTTTAGATTAAGATAATATTAATTATTTAAGAGTACCTCTAAATCTACAAAGAAGATTTTTAGCCCCCCCCCCTGGTTACACCTCTCGATACACCATATATTTTTTTTATTCCCTCCATCACATATTTGGAAAATTTATGCTCGATTTTCCTCATATATAATTTGTCAAAAATAGAACCTTTAAGGAATATAATTAATTCTATTATATATGGCTGTGCTGATATTAAAATGATATGATTATAAATGTATGTATCTCGGAATTGTCACTAAACCATCTTGGAATGTTAACAAAACTTTAAAGTAATTTTACAAACAAAAATATTTTAAGAAAGAGTCAGTATCGGCAAATGAAATGAGCCTATCTTTGGACGGTTTTCCAATTTTTTGCCGATCCTATCTAGAACAAATTTTTGATCGGCCAATTCTGACGCCTACTTATAATAATTTTGTTTTATAACAAATTTTAATGTTATATAGATATTCCGTGATGTTTGCGCATAAAAATTTAGCTGCCAATCTAAATATCGGTGCAGCTCTAATATGAGACTTTTTGATTCTGAGTGCGTCCAACATAAAATAATTTATGATATTTTAAGCACAGTCTGTTTTTTAGAGTTTATCAAATACTGAAATGTTCCTATTCGATTTATAAATTTCTAATCGAACAATTGTATTGTTCGATTTCATATGAATAACGAATAATTCAATTAAATAAATTTCTTTAAAAAAAGCATAAATTGTTTCTTTTTTAGAGACTTTTTTTGGTAATCAATATCTATAAAAATAGATGCTCACAAGATGCAAACGAGCTCTAATACAATTTACATGTTTTAAGGAAATTTTAAACAAGAAGTCTCATATCACAATCAAAAAAATAAATGGTTCAAGAAAAAATAAAAAGAGTGGCTTCAAAAAACTTAATTACTTAAAATTTGCAAATAATTCTAAAATTTAACAAATTATTGGAATATTTTCTAAAATTTACGAATAAATCACGAATAATTTTAATTTATTCTCAAATCACTTCTTTTCATTTTTTCAAAATTATAGCATTATAATAAAATTTTAAAAAATAGATTTGTTATAAAAATAAAATGACTATCTATAAAAAAATGGCGAAATATCTTATAGTTTTCGCCAAAAAATTATGGTTTTTTTTTGAAATAGCTTCCTTCTTATAAAATTGATTTTAGTGAAGTTGGGACCCTATGATTATCAATACTAGTGTTGTTAAATGGTTCGATTTGAGCCGATTTTTAAAAACGTCTAACTCGATATTTCATCCAGAAAAATATTACGCAAGCCTAACCACTTTGCTCGATAGCACAAACATTTGGACATTTATTAGTGAAATTTCGAGGCTTATGAAAATATTGAGTTAGCCGTATTTAAAAATCGGCTCAAATTGAACCGTTTAACAACACTAATCAAGACTATATTAGGATTGTTTACGAAATGGCATCCACGCCCCTAATATGATAAAAGCAAGCAATGATACTAAAGTAAACTAGTTTATTTTAACTTAAAACTTTTAAAATTAGTTTCTTATGTTTAGTGAATTAGCGAAAAATATTATTCAGTTATTTTTATTCTTAGGTAAAAATTGGTATATTTTTTTATGTTAAAATTAGAAATAAATTTTTAGTATTTTAAACAAAAAAATCACATTTTTATGCACTGGATATTTTGACCTGTTACGCACTTCTTATACATCCATTCATAACTCCTTTCTACATGATAATGAAAAAATATAAACATTATTTTGATACTTATTAGAGTTGTTTTTATAAAATATAACTTTTCCTAGTATACCCTTTTATAATATCAAATAAAGCATCATTGCAGGCAATGTGGTAGGGCTTTATGCAACGATTGCTGCAATGAATTGACTATATTACCACATCTAGGCTATGAAATACCTGTTAGGGTTTGTAGCTCATGTTTCACGCATTCCAATCTTCCTCAAACATCAATATCCGATATAAATATAGGAAAAAATGAAATTGTCAATGGATCCATCAGTGGTATTTCATCTTTGAGGTAAAAAAAATTATGCGAAATTAAATACCGTCTAATTCAAGCTTTACAATTTGAGCTACCACTCCGGGCATGTTTTAACAGTGTCTTATGCCTAAAAAGGTATCATGATTAAAAAAGGTTAATAAATCATCAAATTTTTCTTTAACATTTCACGAATACAATTGGTGATGACGCTTGGGTTTGATGGATCCCTACTTTTAAGGATAAACATCTTATATTTTAAATGGGCTTCTGGGCAAACAATGAAAAAAATATAAAATACACATGAGAGGACGAAATTTCAGACCCGCCCAGATTTATAAAAAAATTTATTTTCAAACCTAGCTTATTTTAAAAAAATTTATTTTCAATCCTAGCTCATTTTAAAAAAATTTATTTTCAAATCAGGCATCGATTTTTTAATGGAATATTTTGGCCCGATATGAATTTTGAAAATTTCGTAACATTTTCACCATATTTCGCAAATTTTATCACCTGGAATGAAAAGATTAACGATTTATTCACCTTTTTCTATCATTATTTCTTTTTATTATAATCTTTTTTAAAAAACTGCTCTAATCTAAGTTCGAACCCAAAGCTTTTACTATCCGTGTTTTGTTAAACGCATCTCTCGAGTCTATGTTATCTTAATCATTGTATTGTTTTTTTTAATTTAAAGCCAAAATATAGTCTCTAAAGATATTAAATGGTCTCATTCTTTTAACACGCATCACCCTCTCCTCGCCATGGATATGAATGAAGGTTTGAAGATCTTGGTGACTTCTGGTGGAGATAAAATAATTAAAGTATTTAAGTATAATCGATTCCTGTGGTTCTAATTACAATTTTGTCGAATTATCCCATCTATCTATTTACTTTAAACTAACATTTAAAATTTTGTTTTTTATATCATTAATGATAATTTTTAAAGGGGGTAATTTTGTCTTTTTAAAATGGCTCTTTTTATCAAATTGATCGATGTGCAATTAAAACTCTGTAATAATCTAATCGCATTGATTTAATTATTAAATTTTAATCTTTATTTTATTAGGTATGGAATATTTCTTCTTTGGTGGAATAATTATAAATTATATAATAGTATGTTATGTTTATCTCTTTCAACAAAACTAGTTAATAGATTAAATTTATGTGCAATTATATACGTGATAAATAACATGTTACAAATCTATGTTAGTTAATTATTTTATTTAATTTTGTAACATTTTTTTCAATATTATTTTATATTATATATAAATCTATCATAATATTTAATGTTATCATTATATTAAATGTGTTATTTAAAATCTATTATACTATATTCTTTTTAATAGTGTCACTATATTATATAGTCATAATGAAATGCTAAGTATAGACTAGTTTTTCAGCCCTACTGTAGCATACGAATGTGAAATATAAGATTTCATCAAAATCTCACCCCTCCCCTCCTCAATATAAATGGCAGCAATTCTTATGTTATGAGACCTCTATTTATATTTTGAGGCATATCTGATTTTCCCATGCCGCGGGGATTTCTTTAAAGCATACTTTGATTATACCCATAGTTAATATTAGCACTTTTATTACCAGAACCTCATATTGAGTCACCAGGTTCTGTGCATTATAACTATTGCTTCATTTCGAATATGTTTTGGGCATATTATTTTTAATATTTTTCTAATTTTACTTTCTATAATTTATTTCTTATTATTTTGCATAACCGTCGAAAGAAAGATTCGTAGTAAACGATTCTTATTGTTTAAATCAAATTTTCAATCCTATTTATTATAAATTTTGAAGCTTGCCAATCTTTATTTCTTACATTATTCTTCTCTCCTTCGTTACTGATTATTTAAGATATTAATATAAAATATATATCATTTCATCTTTTTCTTCTTTTTGCAAGAAGTCACCGTTAAAATAAATAAGCCACTTAACACATAAATTAATATACCATTGCAATATATAATATTGATCATATTTTTTAAAATTTACCAATCCTCTGCCCTAATCTATGTTCTATTTAATTTTTGAACTCTTGATTTTCCACTATTTGTGATACATTAGCATTTGTTATAGTGCGCACAAAGTCAACATTTCAACGCAGCGTTTCAAAAAGCAAATAATGCATTCGTTTAAATTGGAAACATTCGTCTTGCATTTTAAATTATTATTAAAAAAACCAAATATCATGTGTTTAAACGTTTTAAATTTAGGCGCAACATTTCGAAAAATGTTGCATAAACCTCTATAGACTTATTTAAAAAAGGAGTGGGGCAGAAAAAGAGCCTACACCTGAGAACTACAATATTATTTAATTACTTTAGGGTGGGCGGAGGATCATTTTTAATTTGAAAATTTTACTATATTAGCACTGGTTTTAGTAAGGAAATTTAAAAGAATACTTCCAAAAGGAGTTGAATAATTTTTGAGATAGGAAACATTAGATAATGATGAGTTGAATAATTGTTGAGATAGGAAACATTTAGATAATGATATATGAGCAAAGAAATTCGAAGTACGCATTCATTTGAGGTAACTTTCTTTGATGCGAAAAAGCTTTTTGATGGATCTTTTGCTATTATTTAGTTTTATGAATTATCTTTTATGGTTTTATACTACCATAAGGATTTGTATTTTGTATATTATTTTCCTTTATATGTGCACAACAATTCTATGGCATCGTGGGCTAGATTATGAACGGAGTTCCTTATTATATGGGCTAGGAACTGGATCCGGCGTTTTTTTATAGTTATGTTTATCGGCGTGTGATTTGACTTTTTCCAAAGATTAGAGTTTGAGATAACTTTTGGATAAAAAATTCCATTTATTGTTAGTAGACAATTATTTATAAATATTGTAGTCGTCTCATTTCTGTCTTATTTGCTTCCCAAATATCACCTCCATATAATAAAATAGGAACTATCGTCGAGTTGAATAACCTCAATCTGGTAAATACCCAGATCTCTTTGGTTTTCCAAACTTTCATGTACTTATAGAAAGCACCCCTCGCCTTTTGTATTCTGATCATCATTTCCTCTTTTCCACTGCCTTAGTTATCTAGTTTTATACCTAAGTACTTAATTTTGTTCACAACCTTAATTGTATTTCCTCCAAATGTAAGATTATCTAGCGGTGGAACATTTGGGGAGGGGAGAATAAAAGTTTTTTTGAAATTTATTTCAAGTCCAACTCTTTGACTTAGGATCTCTAGTAGGTATAACAAATTTTTGGTTTCATCTATACTCTTGGAGATTACAACTATGTCGTCAGCATATGATATTATTCTGTTGACAAAAGATATGGAATTATTAGATCCTAAATCTACAGATCCGCTGCCCCCAGTGCTTCCTTTGTGACTATATATTATTATGTTGAATATTGAAGTGATAGCATGGATACAACATCTTCTAAAAAGTAAAATAATTTTCTTATGAAATTATGTTATTACAAAATGATTTGCTAATTAAATATAGGGCAAGCTTTTTTTGTTTAGAATGTAGACGTTTCATATTGAAAAAATAAAAGTTAATATTTCAATTCAAATAGCTGCGCTTACGTTTTTTTTTTAATTTGCGTTTTGAAACGTTCAATTTATGCACACTTATTTATCTCCATTTCTGACTCAGGCCATAACTTCCCAGGCCCAAGACGTAAATAATAAATATCTAATATTTTTTAATTTATTTAATCTTAATTATATTAATAATTATAACCAATATTTTATTATTGATTTAATTTTATTAAATAATTTAATCTTTATTTTATTAAATAATTTAATCTTTATTTTATTAAATAATTTAATCTTTATTTTATTAAATAATTTAATCTTTATTTTATTAAATAATTTAATCTTTATTTTATTAATGAATTTTTCATTAATCTTATTTTAGTTTCTACCAATTTTAACAAAATATATTGAAAAAATTATATGTGTAAATTTAAAAAATATGTATTGTGTTTTTTAAAAAAAGGCATTTATAAAAACTAATATTATTTTTTTTTTATAACTACGAGTACGTCCAAAATCAAAATTTAATTTAAAAAAAATATATTTATTATTGAATTTGATTTTGGACGTATAATGTATAAATGCGATATTCATTTTTTTGTAAAAAAGATTTTATTTTGTACTCACCCTAATTATCTAAAAAAAATATTAAAAATCTTTCGGGGAGACAGCTAATGTAATTTGCTTTTAGAATAGCTAGAACCAGCCTTTGTCGGAGGATAAAACTTTCTCGGATCCTCTGAGTTTACATATTTCAGAACCTAGATTTTTGACGAATGATTGAGTGAGTTTGTTAAAAATGGCGAATATGATTAGTATGAAAACATTTGGAATTTTTGTTATTCATTTTGATTTAGAATATTGAAGGCTTGGTTGAAGGAATCCCAGTTGAGTAATACATGAATAACCCCAAACTAGTAATTACCCACTCTTTCATAGCATTTGAGTAATCCCATCTAAGAATTTATCGCTTCATCTGTAAAAACCAGCTGGTTCTAGTATTGAAAGTATTTTAAATGATTATTAGTGTTATTATCATCAATTAGTTATGAATAATTAGGAATAATAATTGATCAATTTGGATATTAGAATTAATAGAATAATATATGGAATTCGGAATAATATATAGAATACGGAATAATGTATAGAATAGAATCAAATTAAATTGAATAATCGAATATTTGGAATGATAAATCAATAAAATTATTATATCATGTTTTTAATGTTTAATTTTGGTGTTTTTGTAAATATTTTTTTTATATTAAATTACATATATGTGGCACTTGAGTTATTTATATTTTTAGTCAATGTATTGGTTTATTATTAATCAGATCAATTTGTTAATATAAATGAGGTATTAATTTTTTAATACAAATTTGCCTCAATTATAAATGATATATTATTATAATTATTAGCACTAATAGATAACCCGTCAAAAATGACGGGAAATGAGAATTTTATTCGTTTTCTTACGATTGATGTTATCTTTTATTTAAAAACCATATCCAATTTATCTTTTATTTAAAAACCATATCCAATTTTTATACTTTTTACCCCAACCCCACCGCCCCCCCCCTCTCTTGAAGCAGGCCAAGTTTAACCCATTATTACTAAGTTAATACTATTTTTGATTAAAAATATATTTAAATTAACTTTTACTTGAGACGCATATCAAAATTCTTTATAAAATATTATTGATTACCTATGGCTAATATTTAATATTAAAAAATCCAAAGCCATATCCAAGCCCACAATAATTTTGAAAAAATTTCCCTAAACCCGAAACCTTAATAATTTTGGTAGTTCTAAACAAAAATTTTGAAAAAAATCATAATGCAGTAATCAGAGATCTTCATGGTCCTTTTTTTCATCAGGCCCATCCCAGGCCTCCAAAAAGTTTAGGCCAATGACTGGCCCATATTATATGTTAAAAAATTTTCAAGCGTCTAAGAGCCTAATAATTTTAATTTTTCCCATGCCCAGCCCATTATAATTTTGAAATTTTTTCTCAAACCTGGTCCAACCCATGATAATTTTAAAAAAATTTCCCAAATCAGGTTCAAGTCTATATTAATTTTGAGAAATATTTTCTATGCCCAGGGCGAAGAATCATAAAATATAATATGGGTATGGGGTTAAGAACGGATATTAAAAAATATTATTAATATATGTATTGCCATAATATAAATGAGTATATTTTCAATAGCTAATTTTATTGAGCAGGAACAATGAGAAATAAAAATTATACAAATATTTACTATGTGCAAAATAATAAGTATATATGCAAATTAATATGAATATTGTTTATAGATACATTTTGGCAAGCTTTCTTTCATGTAAGATCCTTGAGAATATAAATTTTTTTAAATATTTAAAAAAATAATGATTTCCCTTTTTTGAATTGAAATTCGGACCTTTTTTTATAGAACCTTTTCCTTTTTTGATCAAACTTTTAATGTGAAATTACAAGTTCTTAAAAGAAAATGGGGATCTAGAATCAGTTTAAATGAAACTTTTCTAAGAATGATAGGAAGATAGGGAAAAGAAAAATAGAAAGAAGCAGAACTGAAAGGAATTGGGAAATGGAAAGATAAACGAAATTGTAAAAAAAATGGGGTAATGGAAAGTGAAATAAAAAATAGAGAAAAAGGGGAAGTGAAAGAAAAATAGATTAAAAGAGAAAAGTGAAAGGAAAGAAAAAATTTAAAGGGAAAGGAGAAAGAAAAATGTAAAGGGAAAGAAAAAGATAAAGGAAAAAAAAAAGGAAAATGGAAAGAAAATCTGGAAAGGAGCAGGGAGAAGATAAGGTAAAAAGTAAGAAAATGGAATGGCAAGGGAAAGAGAAAGAAAAAAGTAAAGAAAAGGGGAAAGTTGGGGAAAAGAAAAGGGGAATAATGAAAAGAAGGGAGGGGAGGTTGGATTATTTAAAAGTCTGATTTAGGTCGATTTTTAAAAACAACCCAATTATTTTAGCCAAATTAATATGTAAGGCTGAAGATTTTGCTCGTAGATGGCAAAAATGTTTGGACCCATATTTTATCTTGAGGTTTATATAATATTATTTTGTCTAGAATAATAATAGGGTTATTTTTGTAAATCGAGTAAATCGACTCAAATCAGCATTTTAATAACCCTATAAAAATTGATAGGTAAAGAAAAAAGGTAGAAAAGGAAAAGGAAAGGATAGAATAAATACAACTTATTATTATTTTTATTGAAGTAAAACCTGTAGAGGAGTCAGATCCTATTAATACCCTTTAGAGAACATATCCAGTGTAATGAATTACACTGTTTGGAAATTTAAACCCATTTTTGGTATCTTTATTATTATAGCATACATATTTAATGAGGGGAAGGGATATCTTTGTTTTAAAAGGAGGTTAATGTATTGTGTTTGTTGTTAATGAAACTATATTCATAAATATTCATAATAATTTTGATTATATGTGTGCTGATTTAATATTTAAAAAGAGTATTTCAGATGGATTGATGACATACTGAGTCAAGGCTTTTGAAATGTCACTAATTATGATATATAGGTTAAATTTATGAAATGTTGCTTTTTCTAATTTGATTTTTAAAGCTATGATCAATTCAATTGTATTTCTTCCTTTATGGAAAGATGCAATGTTATCATTGCTGTTATTATCAATGTTTAGGTTAAATAAAAAGTTCATTAGAATTTTATAAATTGATGATGAAGGGGTTATTCCTATCCATTTGGTGATTTAGGGAAAGGTATTTTAGGTAAATTAATGATGATTGATTTGCAGATTTCAGGAGGTACGTTTGCTGCTAACCAAATCTTGTTTAAAATTGGAAATAAAATTTTTGATGTTGAAATGGGAAATTTATTAAAAGTTCATTTGAAAGATTGTCTGACATGAATTTGTGATTTTTGAAGCTGTTTATAACTTTTATGATAGCCTCTTGTTTTAAGGTAAAAGGAGCATGTGTGTTTAGTTGTTGAGAAGTTAAAGATTTAATGAGAGGTATTTAACAATTGAAAATGTTCCTATAATGATCAATAAATATATTTATTTGATCTTCTGGAGTGTTAATCGTGAGACAACCAATTATTAAGTTAATTTTTTTGTCATTGGAGGATGTGAGAGTATTAGTGAAGGAGTTGTAAGGGTAATAGGAAATCTGTAAATAAAAAAAAGTTTAATAAAAATAATTTGCCTGATTATTGATTTTAAATTGATCTTTTTCTTGGGTGTTGATGATGTTATTTTCAAAATATTTTATTCCTACAAAAAAAATTTATAAATAGGTACCGATGATATGACGTGGCGATGACATGACGTAGTGATGACATAGTGAGGACATCGGGAAATTATAATATGGATGGATATTGTTCTATTTTAAAAAAATTTTAGAAGTAGAAAGACTTTTGTATAAATATTATCTATATTTCTAGACATTTTTTGTAATAAATTTTTTAAATTTATATAAAAATTTTTACTATTATATCTCTAATTTTAAGCAAAATACAAAGATTATTTTTAACTCTGATATAAGTTTTAATTAAGGATATATTATTTTATTACAATAAATATGGAATAGGATTATAAATGTTTTAAATATCTATCAAAAATCAAAATATGTTTGTTATTGATAAAAATAACTTATAAATATTGATAACAAAACTATTATAATTTTTTTTTGATATTGATAAAAATATTTTAAAATAAATTAAATGTGTCCATTTTATTATTATATATTTTATTTAATCTAAGTGGCCCTTTATCCATTTCATTTATGACTACATTTGAAATATGTTTGATATCACTATATATTTTGTGAGAGTTTGTTAATTTGCGAATTTTGTCTTCTAAATATAAAAAGAAAGAAGATTAAATAATAAAGATATCAATTTTGAAACAATAATATAATTTAAAGTTTAACTATTAATTATACAATAATAAATTATACAGTAAAAATATTATAAAATTAAAGTTAAAAATTAAAAGAAAACTAAAAAAAATAAAAAGTAAAAGTAACAAGTCCTTCTCTTTCTATATAAAATCCCCTTATATAGTATAATTATTTGCATAATATATAATAATACTCATCGGATTATAATAATATCTCCTTATTTAAATTTTAAATGAACTCTAAATATTCAACTTTATATTAAAAAAAAACTATTAAAATATATGTATATAAAAAATATTAATGAGAAAGATAATTATAAGGCTTGAATATTTAAAGTAGAATGGTTATTAGAATGGTCGCACAGGATGTAATATAGGCTAATGAAAGAGAATTTATAAGGCTTGAATATTTAATCTAGAATGGTTGTTAATTTGGTATTTTATTCATATAATTTTGAAAGAAAACAATTCAAGTTATTATATATGAGAAAAACTTTGTTGCCTTAAGATATATAAATATAAATTATTTAAGTATTTAAATATATAATAGTTTAACGGACATTTTAAATATAAATTATTTAAGTAAGTAATAATATAATAGCGCACATGCGCACATGCAACAAATATAAAACAGACTTAATATTTATAAACTAATAATTCCAAATTGTTATCACAATCACAACAGAGTTAATCCATGGTTCATGGTTCCCTTTAAATAGCCATTTTGGATAGTCACAAGTAAGAAATTTTTCTTTTGTACAAGTATTTATAGGAAATGTACAAGTATTTATAGGAAATGTACAAAGTATAATGACATATGTCATTGATATTTCAAAAAATAAAAATTAATTTATATGCACAAGAAAAATATGTTGTAAATATAAAATTTATCAGCTTACTAATGCTTAAATACCATAGACTTTCATTTATATTAAATAATTTATTTAAATTCTCCTCTTACTCTCGTTCCGATCAAATTTGTAGTTAGAAGCCCTTTATATTTTGATATACTATAATTAATTTACTAAATAAAAATAATATCTTGAGATAAAAGATATTGAGAATGTTGAGGGCAATAGAAGACTATAGAAAGCCATGATAGACTAACGTAATAATTTGTAAAGGTAACAGTCATAAATATCCACGATATTTTGTCGCATTTCCTTTTTTTGAATAAGTAGATTCAAGTCAGGGGCGTCGCTAGCCTTTACAATCTCAGGGGGCTCAATTAAAAAAAATTTTATGGGGGACTTCGCCTCCCATGCAGGGTTGCCATGTCTCCCTCCATCAACGGGAGACTCCCGCAATTTTTTAGTTTACACGCAGACATTTCTCTCCCGCAAAACTACCGCAATTGGAAATCTACCGCAATTTTTTAATTTCTCCCGGAATTTTTAAAAAAAAGTTTTTAACGTTTTTAATATATAAATAATAATTTTGAGAGACAGTAATTAATTATTTTTATATTTTTAAATATTTATTCGAAAAACATGTCTAGTTTGTCAATTTCTTTATATCCTGTTTTATTTTTATCCAATAATAAATCAACATCATTTTATTCATATAAGTCAGTACAGGGGAGTATAAGAACATCGATTGCAACACAAAAATATTCTCCAAAAATATTAAATAATATAGATGCAACTACAGTTTCGGAAATCGTGTACACCTATCATGTAGTTCAACATTCATAGAGCTATATCATCACAATGTTGGTCGAATCTTTTTCCCATGATATTTTTCCAATATAAGTGCAAACCTTACTTGTGGTAGAACAAAAATGAGCAAGGCTCACAAGTGTTTTAGTACCTGAATCCTAGAGGTTAATTCTAGACGATTTGAAAGATGGGCATCATTCAATTCTAACAGATGCATCTAATAAGGGAAATATTAAAACATTTCCTTTGATCCTTCGCTATTTTAACAAGAATAAGAACATTTCCATAAAACTGTTAAAAATTTTTCCTCGGATAGTGAAAAATCTAACGATGTATTTAACCACATAATGTAAATATAGCTGATTCAGGGTTATCAATGAATTGCATGTCAGCTTTCTATCTATAAATTTTGGCAAAAGCCAAAGTTTATTCATTCACCGAATTGAGGCAGCACAATAATGAATTAATACCAATTGGCTGTATATGCCATATACTACATTTCTTGCAAGAAGGCAATGAATGTACTATCTGTGGATGTCGAAATAATTATGATGAAATGTTTTAACGAATTTAATTCATCAAATAAAAGAGTTAGTGAATTAAAAGAGTTAGTGAATTAAAAGAGTTAGTGAATTAAAAGAGTTAGTGAATTAAAAGAGTTGGTGGAGTGGTATGACTTGGATTGGTGTGAGTTGTTGCGATATGTACCTATCAGGTGGTTATCATTAATACCTGCCATCGATAGAATTTCAAAATTTTACAAACCCTTAAAAAAATACTTTTTAAATAAAGATTCGAGTAAGAAAGGGCAGAAGCATATTTGGGATTAGTTTCATATGTAGGAAATCTACTTCATGCAATTAATATTCAGTTGCAATCAGAATATTCTTTATTAATAAAGATTCGCAAAATCATGCTACAGCTCTGTTCATCTTTACAGTTGAAAATTGATAATAAATTTTATGGCGCTATTGCTAAAAATATTTGTTATATTTGAATGTTTATATATATTTTAAAAGGTTACGCTATTTGAAGTGTTTTATTAAATAAGTAAAATAGGTAAAGTAAGTAAAAGTATATTTAATACAAAATATCACGTATATATATATATAATGAATTCAATCCTTCAGGTTATGTAATTTACAAACGAAAAGTTAATATTATATTCAATTTAAATTCAATTTACAATTACATTTATATTACAGTTCTCCCCACTATAAATTGAATTCATCGTGATAACGTATGGGGGTTTCGAAACTCTTTTTTCAAGATTTGTATACTCATGTTCTGCCTTTTCCACTTCTTCGGTCAACGTAACGGGTATTTCCTTCTCTTGTGTATGATCCCTCAATTGATCTGCATGCTTGTTTTTAACGATCCCCTCTGATTCCACATCGTACAATATTGCGCTTTTTCGTTGTAACACTTTTCCTTCATGCCACCCTGCTGTCCTTTCGTTTGCTATCCAAACTTTTTGCTGCTCTTCAAACTCCCGAGGTTCAACACTTCTATCTTTGTAGTACTTTTGTTTCCATAGAGCGTTTTCCGTCCTTTCTCTCGTTGATAATTGCCACTGATCTAATGTCGTCCTAAGCGACCTTCCAAACATCATCTCGGCAGGGGATTTACCAGTAGTTGCATTGGGAGTATTACGGTGAGTAATTAAAACATTCGCTAAATTTAACTGGTCCGGAGTCCCACATCTCCTTCCTGCATAGAAACGCGTCTTTATCGTCCATATATATTGTTCAGCCAAACCATTCGATTTGGGGCTATAAGGGCCGATCTAAAATGTTTTATATTGTTTTTAAAAAGAAACGTTTTGAATTCAGATCCAGTAAACTGAGTACCGTTATCTGAGACAATGTAGCGAGGTAACCCAAATCTAGCGAAATAATTACGCAGATTATTTATTACACTCGCCGAATTAATATGTGTTAAAATTGCAACTTCAACCCATTTGGTAAAAGCGTCTACGCAAATTAACCAAAACTTTCCAGATACGGGGCCTGTCAAATCAATGTGTAATCGTTCCCAAGGTCGGGTAGGAATGTTCCAATTGTATAATGGCACTTTTTTAGCTCCCGGCCTTCCTTCTTGACAACTCTTACAACATTTAACAAAGTCTTCAACATCAGTATCGAGATTTGTCCAAAAAACGTAATATCTACACAATGATTTCATCCCATCCCAGGATGTCCTCGATGAATCACATATAAAACCTCCTTTTTTAAAATATCTGGAATAATAATTCTATCATTATAAAATAATAATCCTTCTTCGAACGAAATATTATCTTTAATCGAAATATATTTTTTTACAATCTCCGAATAATTATTTATATTATCAATATACCAATGATTTTTTATTAATTTAATAATCTCTTTTAGGTTTATATCATTGCTCGTTTCACTTACTACTTTACTGCGAGTGAAAGATAAATCTTCTATGAAATTAATTTTAATCCTCTGATTTCTTCTTCGAATTTTTTTGTAACATCATTGGTTTTTGCTTTCTCTACCCCCAAACGAGACAGAGCATCGACACATTTCTTATGATTACCTGGTCTATATATTATCTCATAATCATAATTTAATAGCTTAGTCGCCCACCGTATTAAATGGTTATTTGTTATTTTGTTAAGATCTCTTATATCACCTAAAATATATTGTAATGTATTATGATCAGTAACCAAGATAAAATGTCTTCCAAAAATATATTGATGAAACTTCTCGATAGCGAACATGATCGCCGAAGCCTCCCGATCAATTGTGGCATAATTTTTTTCAGCCGCCGAAAGTGTCCTCGATGCGTAAGCAAACGGTTTCTCCTGGCCAGTAAGAAATCGGTGTGCAATAACAGCTCCT